CAAAGTTTGTGTACTAAGACCAGTAATATTTGGGGTCACAAGTTTTTGCCAGGAATATTTTGTGGGTCAGAAGATAAAAAAGTTTGGGAACCACTGTGCTAGAGGATAAAATCATTTTTGATCCACTTTGAGTTTCTGGGATAAACCAACCCACAGAACATCCCTGAACGTTTTCATTCAAAGCTGAGCGTGATCCCTTAAAGTGCCTGTGACATCCACTTTTTGTAATAAATATGAATGCCTTTTTGGAAATATAACTTCAACAACATATTGCAAAAGAAGTKTTACRACACTAAGATGAACAGCTATTGAGAGATTCGCATGTGAAGAAAACAGGAAGTGATGTCAAAGGGGAATGTCTGAATGTGAACAGAACATTGTTACAACGGCCGACAACAGACTGTAAAGAAGAATCTGATGTTTATTTACATTATTTGGAGTCATTATCAGAGAGATGAAGAAGAGTCAGAATTCAAATATTGTTTCAATAAGCAAAGATCAGAGAGTTCTTAAAGAGTCCCCCCTTTGATGTCACTTCCTGTTTCACAGTGACTGAGTCAAATCCTGCCTGCAGTAACTCAAAGCAACAACATGTTATGAAATGAGTTCAGTGTTCTGTTGTTCTTCGCCAGCACTTTTTTTCAGCATAACTTTAACTAAACTAATTTTTTTGTTGTATTTAAATGTTTATTTGTGACCTACATTATTTAAATAACGGTTCATATCATGTCTGTTTTCTGTCATTTCGTGTCCACAGTGGGGATGGCCTTCTTTGGGAGTGGGGTTCGGCGGGTGGGGTTGGCACTGCGGTCTCCTCTCCCTCCACTTTGCMGGACGAGCAGCCGGTCCTACAGCTCAGAGCCCACCAAGGAAAAAAGTGTCCCCTATGAGAAGACTCTTAAACAGGAGGGTGGAGCCTCCTCTGGGCCCACTAAGCCTTTACCAAAGTAGGATTTAGAGTAAATAATAATATTTAACAGGTTAGTGGTTTTAGCTGCCATGTAACCACGTTGCTGCCTCAGGTCAGCTGATGTGGTGGTGATCGGAGGAGGCAGCCTCGGCTGTCAGACCATCTATCATCTGGCTAAAATGGGCGTAACCAATGCAGTTCTGCTGGAGAGAGACCGACTGACCGCTGGCACCACCTGGCACACAGCAGGTAACGGACCTGTAAGAGCACGAACATGTACCGGCCTCCCTCTCACAGCAAGCTCCCGATGTGTTTGCGTGTTGTCCAGGCCTGCTGTGGCAGCTCCGGCCCAGCGACGTGGAGGTGGAGCTCCTGGCTCACACCAGGAACGTGGTCAGCAAAGACCTGGAGGAGGAGACGGGCCTCCACACAGGCTGGATCCAGAACGGAGGCCTCTTCATCGCCTCCAACAAGCAGCGCCTGGACGAGTACAAGCGTCTCATGTCGGTAAGGATGGAAAAGGCTGAAATATATTTTAGATTTCCTCAGTTTATATCTCGTTCTTTAAAGGGATCCCTGATTAGTTGTAACATTAGACTTTATTTGATAAACATATATTTTAACTGTAAAATAAAGACTAAAAATACTGTAGGCTGTTTAGTTTTGTAAATTTTTAAAAATATATTTTAACACAGATGGAGACATTTTATTTACACGCAAAGCATTCTGGGTAAATGATGATGTGGATAGGTCCTCGGTGTGAGCGAGCTATATCCACCCTGAAGGTTCATCTTGGACAATATCTGATGATCGACTCTTTTAAATGAAACCAG